TAAATGGAAGGTTCTTTTTTAAATTTTTGAATGGAAAAAAAAAGCTTATCGAATTTTTCTTATTTAAACATCTTGTAAAAGATCCGAACTTGTTATGTGTTAAAAAGTTCAGTTTTTAAATTATCGCAATTACTGACTGTTTTCTGGTTATAAAAAAATGGATACCCTAACGATATCCTTATACATTTACATCCATATCATCACACTTTCATCATTTACATTTCAGATGCTCAGAAACATATGTAATGATTTTATCTAGTTATCTGTTTGATAAAAGAGTATTTTAAGAATAAGCCGTTTACGATCGTGATTTTATTTTACTTGATAGGGAAAGGCGTACCGGAGTAATGTGACAACGCCGCAACAGCACACCGTCGCATTTCTCTCACTCCGACTTAATAAGATTCCAATGCGATTTACTTCCACACATGTAAATACCGACCCAAAAGTAATAGTTACCAGCACGGTATGAGGGAGGCTAGGTTAGGTTAGGGTTGCCAACAATCCTCTATTCCAGAGGACAGTCCTCTTTTTGATCTTACTGTCCTCTTTTCCCTCATGTATTGAAAAAGTCCTTTTTCTTACATACCACACTCAAAATCTAAAAAATATTCGTCTATCGCCACAATGTTTTAAAAAAATGTTAACCAGTGTATTTCTCCCGCTACTCCCACTTGTTTTTACAGAAATGAAAATGAAGAAATACATACAACCAAACTTATATGGAATCACTCTTTATTTCTGACTATATTTCTTGCAAGGATAAAAATTCGTATACAACTTTAAGATAAGGCTTTTTGTTGTAAATAAACCTGATAATATAGAATAAACGACTACTGCAATTTATTTTCTTTTGAATTTTGTGTTCAGTAGTAAAATCACGATTGTCCGGTAATTTTCATTCAATCCAAAAAAATTAAACAATGCCTTATGTTGGATTAACAGATATATAGAGGGGAAGAATTATTGCTCTCACCGAACAAGACATGCTCCAGAAAGACGTAGCAGAGATAGTAGGCGTTACTCAGGGTGTTGTATCGAAAACATATGGAAGATACTTGGAATTAGGAACACACAAAGACCCAGACAAAGTCGTGAACGAGTTATAACTGAACAACAAGACCGCCTTGTGTGCTGAATTGCTAGAATAAATCCCAATATTTCTCATCCAGAGCTACAAAGACAACTTCTGGCAGCTACAAGTGTGAACATTTCAATTGAAACCATAAGAAAAAGGCTTCGTGCATTAGGGTTTTACAGTAGGAGAGAGTTACGGATCCCACATTTATCTCGGCAAAATAAAATTGACCGGCTAAATTGACGCCTTCAACATCAAAACTGGACAACTGAGAATTGGCAAAATGTTCTATTTTCGGGTGAGACCAGAATTGGACTAAGATAAGATAATCATCGAATTCGCGTTCTCAGAGCTCCAGGAAGACGAGCAAGACTTCAGGCTGCCAAATCTGTACCAAGATATAAAGGAGGAACTGTAATGTTCTAGGGAGATATTATACTGGGAGCAAAAACTCCATTGTTACCACTTCAACAAATTTTAACGGGTCGGAGATATGTTGATTTGGTGCTAGAACCAATCGTTAGTCTTTGGAGAGCTGCAATTGGGGATACTTTTAACTTCATGCAGGATAGTCCACCTCCCCATACCAGCAGAGTGACTAGAGAATGTCTTGAAACAGAAGGTGTCATAGTTTTGAACTGGCCTGCCTATTTACCAGATCTAAACCCTATCGAACACTTGTGGGACTAACTCAAAAGAAGGGTTAGAGCTCGTCGAAACAATCCAGGAAATCTCGCACAGCTTACTGATGCAGCATTAGCAGAATGGGAGAACATACCCTAAGACAACGTGGATAATTTAGTAAGAACCATGCCAGCGCGGATAGAAGTTTGCATAAGAGCTAGAGGTGGCAACAAGGAATATTAAAATTATCAATTTTCTTTTTGTTTATGCTTTTTGGCCATTAAAAATTTAAATCTTAATTTCGTTTCAGAGACCAAAAAAATACCATTTTGTTTATTTTGGGAACTGATTAATTTTTTTTATTTCTATATGGATTATTTTTCATTAAAAGTCATTGGTAAGGACTGAGTTTTATTAATAAACATAAAATTTTCATACATCTCAAAAATTATGAAAAATAATAGATGATTCCATATAAGTTTGGTTGTGTGTATTTATGTACAAGAAATATTTGTGGAAGCGATAAACATATTTAACTATTTTGTGTTTACTTACTGTAACATAAGCTGTTTTGAAAAAATAGAGGTTTTGTAGAAAATGGTTTGTTTTATTTTAACAAGTTTTGAGTAGCTATAAATATTTTTAAGAAAGTAAGAAAACCAAACCATCAATCGCCTGCCATTTTTTACCCTCGCGTCCTCTATTTTTTATTATGAAAGAGCTGGCAACCCTAGGTTAGGTTGTAGTGTAGTCCACCGTAATCGGAAACAGTTTAATAAGCTGATAATGATGATGAAGATAATGATGATACAATAATTGTCAACTTCAGACCAGGAAGAAAGTTTGTATGTGCTACGAAACTAAATCAAAATACATAATTTATGTTTAGAACGACAAAGGTTTGTATATAAAACTTTAAAAGCCTCGTAAAGAGAGATCCAAAGAGGCCGACAGCGTCTTTACAGCTCCCAAGGTAAAAAAGCAATAGGAATAATCTGATTTCTTAGCTCCAATCGAGCGGCGGTTTACAGAGCGAGATACCGTTAAACCTAATTCTAAAAGTTCTCTTCCTTCCGACTTGGAGGGAAAACGACGAATCGATGAAAAATAATGCCGTTTCCGGGGTCTTATTTTTCCGCTCTCGTTTGTTTCTATCGAGAAAATTGTCCGATATTAACTTTACTGTATGCTTTTTTATCCGTGTCTTTACTTTTTGAAAGTATATATCCAGATAATTCAGTTTATATGAACCAAACAGGTATCTACAGGGTCCGGCAATAGTGCGTTGGGCATATGTAACGCCTAGAATAAAGAACTTGAGAATTTTGTTTAAGTGATTCGTCGCCGTCGCGTTCTACTATATCGGTCTCCGGAATAGGTCCTGAGGAACTAGTCCTTTGAGAAACTGGGAACTAGTTCTTTTCGTTCCGGGGTCGGAATAGTTCATTGGAACTAGTTCGTTCACGAATTACACACCTCTATTGGTTCTTGGTCATGGGCTTGCAGAAGACTTGCATTGATAGGTCTTGGTCTTGATCTTGATTTTTGTGCAAGACCAAGGCCAGTCTCTCTCATCACTACTAAACAATATCACTACTAATACATGACATTTACATTCGATTCTTGTCATTTTATTTCACAGATATTATAATTGCAAAACATTTTCCGATGCACGTCATCAATTATTTCGACATTGACACTAAACTCTATAAACCTGACTAAATGAAATTTTGGCAAAAATGTGTAAATTTGTTGTATAATTTAAGATACCGTTCAGCTCAGCATTTTACTTTATAAAGCAAATGATTGTAACATATATTTTATTTTGATTAAAGCTGCAAAAATTAATTTAAACCGAATTTTATTATCGCTATGTTAGTCACATTGCGCCATTTTCAGCAAGGTTGTCGTTTATTATTTGACAATTATCCTAATGTTAGTCATTATTTTGTACAATATCGTGTTGTCGTCGAATCTTTGTGAGTAATTCTCGTTTATTTGTCTATTTTCATAGTCTTTTTTTAAATTGTACTTTTAAGCAAAAACAGTTCTTTTAAGATTTATTGTATTGCATTTATTGAAATTGTGTGTTGAAAATATGCCGAAGTATTTAAATAGTCGAAGCAAAGAGCTTGTAGTTTTCCTGACCTAAAAATAATTTAACGAGAACGTGACAATAGATCCTTTATTACCCTTGACTGCAAATAGAGAAGTAAGTTTGATTGATAAGCACATTACACCACTTTCAAAGTTATTTCTACGTTAGTTTATATCAAATTCTGTGATTATTAGTCTGTGCCTGTGCATTAATAGCACCCTTTTACTTGTTATTACCACTTATGGCGTTGTAAGATTGTACATCAATAAATAAATAAATAACCCATAATAACGTTTAGAATAGACTGGAAAAATAGAATGGCAAATGACTAGAATAGAATTAGTGATGGGATAACTCGAGCGAAAATTCGATTGCGATGCAAGTGACGAGTTACGAGCGACGAAAGCAAGCGATCCTAGAATGAAATAAACTGAAATCCGATTTTAATGTGACATACTCGATAAAAAGCCGAGCGAATTTTCTACATACATTGCAAGTAGCAAATTTATACGACGTTATCCGTTGCGTATCTGAGTGACAACATTTTACAATATACATCAGCAATGCTTTGAAATAAACTAAATCAAGTGAACTACTCGTCCCTCGTCGCTTGCTACTTGCCATTCATCGCCAAAAGAAAATGTGCTCAAATTACTGCTGCTTGGCGTTACGAGTACAACAAGCGACGGGAGAAAAACCGTATTTTAAAATACGAGCGATGTTTCGCTCGAGCGATCGCTCGATTATTGAAGCCGTTTGAAATTCGAGTACTTGATTATTGAAATTAATCAGTTTTGCCCATCACTAAATAGAATGGCTTGTATAATGGACCAGTTTTTGCCAATATGTAATAAGTAAAATAAGCTATAAAACAAATAAATCAATTAATTACTAAAATATTAGTTATTAAATTAAAAATAAAATGTAATTTTTTTTAAAAAATGATATAATAAATATAATGTTTGTCACTTTTAAATTAAGATTCATCTAATAAATCCATCACAATCTGGCAACGCTGTCGCCATCGTTTGTCACTCAAACTTGATCACGTGCATCGGAAATTGTTTTGCGATTACCATATATAAAAAATTCTGTTTTTTTTTGTCATGGCGCCTGTCGAAATCTTTCCTAGCTTCTTAGATATACCATACTATTATGTTCTCTATATCCTGCTAAAAAAACTGTCAATAATGCACGTACCTCTCTCTTTGACGAACACGCAGGGATGATCGAATAGGAAATCCCGGAAGGAGTTGCACTCGGGGTCGACGTGCGGCTCCCTGCACAGGCACGTCGGCTTGAAGAAGGGAAACGCCTGCAGGGTGCGGAGGGCGGCCTGGCATTTCGTCACGGTAACTGTCGAACAGGCCACTGAAAAGAAAAAAACAGAAATAAAATTGGACAAAGGGTGATAAATATTGGATTTAGAATGGTATGGATTGTACAAAGCTTTTTGCATTAAAACTCACTACTTCTTTATTTAGCTGTTGAAAACCCAAAGGTTTCAACCTCAAATGTATTCGATAGTTAACCATATATAAAAATAGCTTACGGTAGTGTTATATAAAAATAATTGAAACCAGTGCATTTTAACCTGCTTGGAACACGAATTGTACCTGGTAGATCATTAAAGTATCTCGGGTTGTGGCTGGACAGCAAGCTCACTTTCTCCATACACGTACACCGTACCATAGAAAAAGCGGAAAAAACAATGTCCGCCCTTTCCAGACTTATGCCCAATATAGCTGGTCCAAGCGAATCGAAAAGGAAAACACTGGCATGTGTAATGCAATCCAGATACTCTATGCTGCACCAGTGTGGAATAACGTAACTAATAATAAGGCACTTACCCGGAAACTCACCAGAGTTCAGAGGCTAATGTCCATTAGAGTAACTAGGGCCTACAGGACAATCTCAGCTGAGGCAGTCGGAGTGATAGCTGCAATACCACCCATAGACCTCCTTATCAATGAAAGAGCCAACATAGACAACGGACAGGACAGAGCCACGGCGCGAAATTCCCTAATGGCCAATTGGCAGAAGCGCTGGAGGACTAGTACAAAAGGCCGATGGACACACAGGATCATCACAAACATTAGCAACTGGCAGAATAGGCGCTACGGGGAGGTCGACTACTATCTCACTCAGGCCCTCTCAGGGCACGGCTGCTTCAATGCATTCCTATATAAAAGGAAAAGAGCAACTACGGAGATTTGTAGGTACTGTGAAGCAATAGATGATGCTGAACACACGATTTTTGCCTGTCCTAAATGGCACAACGCAAGAGAGATATATGAGAAGGAACTGGGGAGGCCGTTTACTCTGGAGAGCTTTGCCTTGGACAATATGGGAGAAGAAAATGAATGGAAGATTACCTATAATGTTGTACGGACGATCATTAGGACCAAGGAACAAAAAATGAGAACTTTGGGACAAGAGGAATAGTAAGCCAGTTACCACGTTGAAGTAATGCGAGAGCAGTTCCAGCGTGGAGCATGGATTGGCAAAGGGGGGTTTTTAGTCGGTACAAACCCGACACGGCCTACGTCCATCCAACATCGGGTGTCTTTTGAAGATTTTCCCCTCCATAAAAAAATATATAAAAATAATATATTCATATATGATGATTATATAAATTATATTCAGTATCATATATAAATTATATATGACCATCATATATACAAATATCATACATAAATAATATATGATATCATATATAATTTATACAGGGTGATTCCTGTAAGTCGGTCATGCTTTCGAGGAATGATAGGGGACGTCGAAATATTAATTTTAATATAGCACACTATGGGTCGGAAATGCCTCTTACGCAAGATACAGGGTGTTAAAGTTTTTGAAAAATTAAAGATATTCTTTAATAGTTTTTTAACAGTTGAAAGTATCGTTATAAAATTTCATTATAGGAATCTACCTAACAGAAACACTTTAAATGTAAAAAGAAGAGGTTTTGGTTTTATCCAGTGGCGTAGCTGTGATACGCATCGGGTAATTTTTTCAAAAAAAAAATAGTACGCCACTGATAAAAATAAAAATTTCGGAGTTTTTTTTATTTACTCGGTTTATTTCCAAGGAAATAAACCGAGTAATTTCCAAAAATGTCTCTTGCAACTTTCTCCTATCTAACACCATTTTGTCACAATTTAAAAATAAATAATTTTTTTAATGAGAATCCTAAATACAGCGAAGTATTATAACTAGAGGGCAGAAACACATATGCATCGTAGCTCCCTTCATCTTGGGTAACTTTAGCACTTTTTACTATTAGTACTAAATAAATTTTTAAAAAATTATAAATTTAAACTAGAATTTTTTTTTATTGTTAATAATAAAATTCGTAGTAGTAGTTATAATTCGCATATTTAAGGTTCTCAGAAAAAAATATTTATTTTTAAATTGTGACAAAATGGTGTTAGATAGAAGAAAGTTACAAGAGACATTTTTTCTTGGAAATAAACCGAGTAAATAAAAACCTCCGAAATTTTTATTTTTATCAGTGGCGTACTATTTTTTTTTTGAAAATATTAGCCGATGCGTATCACAGCTACGCCACTGGTTGAAACTAAAACCTCTTCTTTTTACATTTAAAGTGTCTCCGTTAGGCAGACTCCTACAATAACATGTTATAACGATACTTTCAACTGTTAAAAAACTATTAAAAAATATCTTTAATTTTTCAAAAACTTTAACACCCTGTATCTTGCGTAAGAGGCATTTCCGACCCATAGTGTGCTATATCAAAATTAATATTTCGACGTCCCCTATCATTCCTCGAAAACATGACCGACTTACAGGAATCACCCTGTATATAAAAAGTGAATTCACATACATCACAGGTATACCTATGAACACAGTTGACAGATCCTCATAATGAAAAAAGTGGAAGAGTGTTTATCATCATATCGAGGGACTTTGCTGAGTAACCAGTTTGAAGCAACTATGTTTTAATATCACTTCATTCAGAATTAAAAAAAGTAAAAATATTTTAAGTTAACGTGTCCTTTTTGCTGCTAAGGTTAATCTGGACGGGGCCTACTTTGTTTACGCGGAATCTCAACCACGGTCCTAGGCCAATCATTGTCAATGGCCTACCGACTTGACAAGTGTCTAAATCGACTCTTACTCACGAGATACCCGATCTCATCCGGCCTCAAACCGGTGTGAATAAGCAGTTTGTGTCAAAAGATTTGCACTCTTACCATGGAACAACCGTGCGACAACGTTTCCAGACGGTGACCAGTCTACCTACTCGCATTTTCTAACGTCGCTTAACTTCGGTCATATATTGGGAATTGATATTTCAGAGTAGCTAAACCACATCACACACAAAACATTACGACAAAAAACATAAACCTTTGTGGCTAACGAAAGTAGCTCGTTAATATTAAGCAAATAAGACCATTATTATTTCGGGATAATTGTATTCAGATTTAGAATATATTTGATGAATATATTTTAGATAAAAGAGGGTTATGATAAAGGAATACAGCCCTGGGCATTGTTTCCAGGTGGGAGTAATTGCCAAAGCTCAGTGGAACGTTATCGTGGTATAACCAACTAGATTAGGTACGAAATTCACAATAAATTTAACTTAAAGTATCAAAAAGGAAGCAAAATATGTTTAAAAACATTCAGATTTTTTGCTACATTTCACGGCAATGTTATAATACCGAAATTGTGAATAAAATATGACTATAGTTTATTTTTCAAAGAAAAAAAATTCACAGTCCTTTACAAAGATGCAACCGGGGGGCATTGAAAATGATATACATAATAAAAACGTAAAAATATGATTAGTGTTAATATGACTGTATTACATACATATGTTTAAATAACGAAATTAACAAAAAACAACAGATTTAAACATTCACTGAAAAAGTAGTAATGTTAACATTAAATAAAACATTATCAATATTCAATAATAATTATGCGATCGCACCTATCCGTAAAACAAACAAGCAAAAAAACAAAATAACATACAAAACATCATTTTAACATGATGACAGATCATGATCGATGACAGATAAAGAATTCTTATACGGAAAGTTACACTTTACGATATAATTTTTTAACTGTTAAAGGCAAACCCCATTTAAACACAAAACTTTTTAATACCTACTACTGTATCTAAAAGACATTTTTTTTAAATTACTAAATTATTAGCCACGCTTCTGTTTTTCTTGAATATTGTGCGTCACGTCACAGATTAACAGGCCAACGTTTGCACCACAAGGCGATGCTGCAGACCACTAGGTAGACCGGTCGTAGAAATTTATGTTATATACATACAACTTGTAGTATATATATATATATATATATATATATATATATATATATATATATATATATATATATATATATATATATATATATATATATATATATATATACAACTTGTAGTATATATACACAAATATTATGATAAATTTATAAAATGTATATATATATTGTTATATATATATATATATATCGCAAAATATATATATATATATATATATATATTATATACAACTTGTAGTCAATCTACACAAATATTATGAAAAACTTTTTTAAAATGTGTTCAGATTTTGTTAAAAGTATAGGTCAAAATCGCAAAACTTAAATTTGATATGAGTTTCTTAGTTTTTATCTAATATAGTGGCGAATTGCAAAAATGCCTTTTCAATGAAAATTAATCAGTTAAATAAAATAATTTAATAAATTATTAATTATTTTTCCAACATATTTTACTTTGCAATTTGTTATAAATATTCAGACTCGCCAATATCGTAGTCCACCGTGTCCAGCCTGTTTAACCAAACGTAGGCCGATTCCTCTTCGGCGGCGTCGTGACCCTGGCCGATGGAAGAGTCTTGAAGACACTCATCCGCGCATAAGAACAACTTGACTGCGTAGCGTATTGCGTATTAATCGATTCTGAAACTTTCTTTCTCATGTATAACATGTTACGCAAGTTTATTATTTTAATCTCGATTTTAATAGATAAATGTGTGAAATACCACCTGAATATCTTCCGCCATGACATGTTGTTACTTTTTTGTTATGGTAAAGTGATTTGTATAAACTTTATTCAATAACTTATATTTTTCTCCATTTGTAATTTTTTAATTATAAGTGAAAATTAAGTATAACATTTTAGGAAAAAGAAACACTGTAATATTTAAAAGAATAAGAAGAATTATTTACTTATTTTGAAAGAAAAATATAGAAAAAACTCTTTCTATGGAAAAAAGTCTTTATACTAACCAGAATCCGGTGACATAATACGCGGTCTCACCGGAAACATTACTTGTTACTTCGCATAACTTGAAGAATATCTACATTTAATATTGAACACTTCAGAAATATTTCGTTCA